AGGGAAAGAATCTGTTGTTGTTAAAATTGTGGGGAGAGCTAAAACATGGCTTCAATCAGTTGTCAGTTTCACTTTAGCATTACCTGGTGTGCTCTTCTTAAACATTTTAAGACTCTTTGTTACTGTTAGCAGTACTTTTTAAAAATGTAGGGAATACAACAGAAGGTAAACAGATCTATGTACAAGGACACAACTTTCCAGTCTTATTTCACTTGCATCAGACTGCAAGTGGATCTCACAGTATCTGTATATAACATTTAATTTTGCAAATACCACTGAAGTTTCCTCTATACTGCCCCACACTGATTTTTGTAAACTTTTACTGTTCAACAGGATTTGCAACTTGTGCCTGTTAGTTTAGGCATGACTGGAGGATTTTGCCTCTGGACAGTTATAATTTCTAATCCTTTTTCATAGTTTGCTGTGAGGATGTTATGAATTAAAGATCAGGATACAACATTGAGGGCTCTGATTCATCAGCAAAAGTGTCTTGCCTTGGGGTGGTTGGAATAATTTCCTCTGCTCTTGATCTTGCTCTTCTCTGAGCATTTCCCTTGCCAGCCTGTAGTGACAGCTCTGCTACCTGTGAAGCGGTTCTTGAACTGCTAGTTCATAGACCAGTTTATTAAAAAAAAAGAAAGCAGTGCCAATTCTTCTTTCATTTACAGCCTGTGGCTGTAAAAGCAACTGAGTCATCCTGACCACTGGGTAAAGAGTAGGTGGACAGCTAGAATGGAAATCAAGGCAGCTGTCCAAAGTTAAACTATCCCAGCTTGTGAATCAAAACCTCAGTTATGTGAAGATCCTTCTGGCCACGTCCATTCTCTTAGTCAACTTGAAGTAAAGCACAAATGACATCTAGGGCTGGGTTGCAGATTTACTTTTTAATAGCTTAAGTGTCTGTATTCATTCTGATAAACACTTGAGAAGAGCATATGTGGCAAATCACTTGCAAAAATAAAATCCCTACATCTCAATGCATGAGGTCAATGCAAATAAATAAATGTCTTATGATAAGCAAAGTAAATATTCTGTTACACTACTCAATCTTTCTGAAAACAATAGTGCCAACAATAATACAATAAATTAATAGAGCATGCATATTTCTTTACAATTATATAATTTCATCATGTCACATGCTTAATTTGTTTGATGTGCCTGATTGTTCAGTAGCATATACCTATAGAATACAATCTTCAAAAAACTATTAACCAAAATATTTCTTCGGCTTGCATTATTAATGAGCAAATGGAAAATAACAGAAAAGAAGCCTGGTCTTTTCTTCAGATTGATTAAGTAGAAATAAAAGGCATGATTTAATTATACATTTATATTTCAAATGGATACATACTTGACTATTTCATTACAATACTTTTAGAAAATAACTGTTAATACTGCTGCCATCAAAGAAGTTGCTTCAAGCCTGCACTTTGCCTTTTTTTGTGACCTGCAAGCCCATGTGAGACTACTTCTGATTGCTACTAAGATTTGGCTTGTGAGTCAGAACACTGCAAGCAGTAGTTCTGAAGAGACTTGTGTTTAACTTCCTAGTAAAGTATCTGCATACAGAAAGATAGTGGGAAACAGAGATACGGTTCCTATCTTGATACGATTACATTCAGTGTGTATATTTCTGTTGAAACTCCTAGGAACAACACTAGGCCAATGACCTAAATCATATTTGTGATTTGTCTTCAGTTGTCTACATTTGTGGAAAACCTCCACACAGACAGGGCAATCATTCAGTCTGTCTTTTCATGTACTGTGGACAGAAACATAGACTGAATGAAAGTTTTCCCTCTTCCTAAGCAGTTTTGTACAGATTTAAAAAAAATAAAAGTTTGGTGGGCAGAAAGGTTGGAAGAAATACTCTGTCAGAGGCTGGAAAGTTCCTCTGAAATACTATGTCAGAATAAACAGGGTAAGGAGAAATCTGGTGAAATCACAACTGGAAAAGCCTTTAAGGAAGCATTACCCACTGATGGTTGCATTCCCTAGGTATGGATGCAGTGGGAAGCAGGGGCCTCACTTCCATTAGAAGTCCCAGGAAAGCAGAGCATGCTAAAATGCACAGCTTCTTTGTTTGCCAGTGTACTTGCCTACAGAAGCAGTAAGACAAGAACTAGAAAAGTGTGCAGATGTGTGTAAGCGCATGTGAAAGGAACTCCAGAAAAATTCTAGGAGAAGAACCAGGAGTACAAGTTTGAAAGTAGCTGTGTCTGTGCCCCAGTTTGGACTTTGCATTCCCTGTCATCCTGGACTCAGGTTTATTTTGGCCCAACTACACAGAATTTTCTCCTTCCTGTGGTTTCCCAATATTCCATGGCAATTATACCACCTGTCTGTCATTAAACCAGGTTAAACCAGGGCTCAGCAATTTCCTCAGCCAGAATTTGTGCGAAGGAGGGCGCTCAATGGGAGATGTGCTCTGTCGAGTGGGAGACAGATGGCAGTGAACACTAAACTGGCATAAAGAGGCAGACAACCTGAGGTTCAGAGGTCTGGAAGAGGTCCAGAGAAAAAATGGTCTGAAAGGAAGAAGTTATCTAAAAGGATGAAAATTAGGTAGAATCAAATCTGTATATGTCCTTTACCCAACCAAACCACAGAAGAGCCAGAGCCTGGGGTGCAGGATCACACCAAATTATCCCCTGAGTCCTTAATCACTACTGCAAGTGCAGTAGGATACTGTTTCTACCAGTCTTGCACAGGAAGGAGAGCTGTCCTCAAACTCTTGAATAATAAAAATTAATATTCACAATCTTTGTTAAAGAAGGTAGTATAATTAGTAGTATATAAAATGAAGATTAATTTTAATCACTGAAGGAGTATTTTCTTTGTTTTGAACTCTGCACTCAGGAAAGTCTGTTAACAAGCTCAGCACAGAACCACTGAGAATCATTCGTGAGACACTGGAAGAATCCACTGATTGGCTTTATGGCTTTATTTCTTTTCTGTCTGACATCGTATGGAGTGATGATGATGACAGTGATGAAGGTATTTGTAATGTAAAGACTTCTGTAACTGCTCTAACTGCTGCTTTACATGCATTATCTTGGCTTACCCAGCCTTTAACCTCACAGACAAGAAGGTCAAGCAAAATGAAAAGTGAACATTGCTGCTAATAAAGCATCTACTGGCTATTCCAATCAGTAAATTGGTCTCTTTGTTAGCTTTCATCTCGCGTTTAACGTACCATTGCAGAAAAGCTGTCAGAATTAAATATTCCCATTAGTACCTCTTGAAGTAAAGAGCACTAATTTATACAATACTTCAAAGCCACAACCAAAATATGCATCAGGATATTGCTTCAGAGAATGGTAATAGCTATTTTTTTAAACTAGCAAGAATCTAAAGAACCCTGATAAATATACAAGATAGACCAAGGAACTTCAGTTTTTTTATTTGATATATTGATGAAAATACACAGGGAGGGTGGGGGTGGGGGCAGAGAAGAAGAATTTTGGCTGAAATAAGGGAATTTTAGATAGTATATTGCAAATAGTTCCGTTTACTAGAAATTATAGTTCTGCCATTATAGTAACATTTCTCATTTGACATTATCTGATAAATTAAAGTAAATTGCTAGCATTTCAAGTCTGTAAGTAACCAGCCTTCTTTTATAACAAAAAAAGTAGTGCCCTGATATGGGCAGAGCAGTAGTGAACCTTCATATCAAATCGTATTGGTCATTTTGACAAGCAGTAAGTGTAGGAGAGATATCTTCACTTCATGGAAGTTTATTTTATATTCTATTTGGCTATACCAGAATACAACTAAAAAGCAACGTGTACTGAAACAGACTTCCATCCATTTGTTCGTAAACTTGAGATATTACAAAATCTCTACCTTTTAAATATGTGCATGAGCTTTTCATATTAGCATCACATGAATACTAATAGATGAGCTGTTACATGTGAGTCTGAACTGGGCATTCTATTCTGAGATATGATTTACAGTTAACAGAAAGTCAGTCTCTCATGTGGTTGAGAAACAGAGGAAAGGCAAAATATGGAGAGCTTGGTAAAATTTGAAAAGTTGTCCTTTTTACCATTTCATAGCTCCCAAAGCACCTGCAAGGTTCCAAATACTCAACTGGATAAGTGTTAATGCAAGTAAGAAAGGTCACAAACTACCTGACATATAAATATTCACGATCTGAATGCTCACTGTGAAATGTTTGGAAACCTGTCCCAGTCTTTGACCCAAGTGGAACTACATCAACACCTACCAGGTGTGTGAAAAGGCAGTAGGCAATTTGCTGCCTGGTATCATAAGTGTGTGCATGTGAATCCCCTGCCCACTGGGTACTGTAGCCAGTACAGCTGAGGCTGCACACTCACCATAGTTGTTCAGACTCAATCCCTTAAATTCTGTTTCACATGGGGGTGGAGTGACACACAGCAGCAATCAAATGCTCAAAGTTCCACCAAAGTGGAGTATTTTTTGTCTTGGATTTTGCTGGAAGTGCTGCTACATTTACAACCTTGCTAACCTACATATACATATTTTTATTTGGACCTTAAATTGAAGCACTAGGCTTTTCCTTAAGACATAGAAACACGCATACAATCAAGCAAATTGTAAATTGTAGTCACAAGTTAACATTTAGTTAACAAGGCCATTTCTTTGATTACTACTGCACATTGAATTTACCTATCCCAAACGCAGGAAAACCTCAATGGTAGGAGAGATGTGTTGTGAAAAATAAAAAATCTCAGAATAGTGTGCTTTGCTTTCTGCTTAGCATATAAAGAATAGATTTAAAAAAACAAAAACAAAAACAAACCAAAATAAGCCAATGTAAGGAAAAAAAACCTAACTAAAAAAATACTATTATTATATCCTTCTCTGATGTTTGTTCTTTTCTCTTGGTTTAGGTGAAGTGGAATCTTCCCTGAAAAAAGGTTGGTCAGTTGACTTATTATAGGGAGCAAATGTGTAATTTTAAGAATTAACTAGTATATCTGTTATTTGTGATATAGATTCTGTCACTAGTTGTGTGTCACTCTACTAATGATGTAAGTTGTTTAAAAAAATCGTTAAATATGAAACTTAAGTCATGGTACTTGCTGTACTGTTTGCTGTGAGAATTTAGATGGTTTCATTATTATCCAGAAAATCTGAAAAACATTCATAAAAATAATAGAATTACAGAAATAATATTATCTGTGCCCTTGTCCTGTATTTGAGACTTCTATTAATGCCAATATGAGTTACGTGTATGTCTGGATACAGATGATATTTGGAAATAATAATATGAAAAAAAATGTTTAGTGGGAAATAATGGAGAAGTATTGTAAAAGCATTTTACTTTGTGCCAAAGCAGAACCCTAAAATAAGGACTAGTTCTGAATCTCCTGAAAAAATTACTTAGCTGTCATCAAATTTTTAGAGCAGACAAGTGAAGCAAGCAAGATATATAATATAAATCTTTTCAGACATGGAAATAATTATGTTGAAACATAAAACTTAAGTTCAACTTTTATTAAATCAAAATGAAAGTGTATTAGAGTGCTTGAGATATCAGGGATATGATATAAAGCTTTTCAGAAGTAGAGTGTGCTTTTTTCTCCAAATTGAGCACAGCTTGATAATAACAAGATGTGTAACCAGCCCTGTGTGATCTGAATTTGGTATCCATCAAATTCTTAATAGGTAAATGCCCATACTGAAGAATCTATCACCCCAGCTGGTGCTGAGTTTACAATCCAGTTTCCTCTGAAGTTAATTGGAACTGGATCAGGTTTCTATTTAATGAGAAATTTTGTCAGTCACAATAGGACATCCAAGGAATGAATAGGCTTGAAAACCAGGACCATTCATCTTCCTGTGGATGATCTTTCATGTCAGGACTCAAGAAAATTTACAGACAGTGTAGGAAAACATTCCATCTCTTTACTTCATTGGTAAGCTTCTCAAAAGGGCTCAGCCCTGCCCTGTCTCTTCTCCCAAAGAGAGGAAGGCATTGTTAAAATGTATGAAAATTGAAAAGACTATGCAAAAAGAGTCTGAAGTTGTAGTGCGTTACTGTCAGGGATGCCAGATACATGGGTGAAAGGTGTCTACTCACCAATGGACCAGTGTAGCTGACCAGGCTGGGAGTATTGTGGACATACTTCACTGCTGGGAAGGCTTAATCCGTAAAACAGTATGGACAAGCCCAGCATTGCAATGCCTGCTTCTTTGGAAATTCGTGACATACTGATGCCTTACACTTTCATTTAGGACACTAGGTTACAGAAATAGAATTCAGAGAAGCCTCCAAAATAAACTGGAAGCTGCTTCAATTAGTCTGTTGGATGGGATGGGATGTTTGATTGTACCTAAAAACCCTCCATCCAAGGAGCTGAGTATCCAACTGCCAGCTTTTGTTATTTTTCTCAGTATTCAAAGCCCACAGCCCTGCTCTTGAAGGAAAAAAAAAACAAAAACAAAACCACAAAAAAACCCAACCAACCAACCAACCAAAAAGAACAAAACCTGAGAAAGTATCTTATCTTTGGGGAGAAGGAAATGGACAAGGAATTGATGATTCCTCTGAAGCTGGTATGTTACAGTATAACTCTCACACACACATGTGAAAGTGCCCAATTTCAAACAACCTTAATCTATCAGAGCTGTAAAGCAAATTTTCAGTAGTATTTTCTACTTCCTGGGTGTGTGCTTGAGATCTTTCCCTCCATCTTTCAGAAGAACAGGAACCCTATCCTTGCCTCCCTGAAAAAAGCTATTTCTTGACTAGGACTGATGAAGACCCTTTCTGAGCATAGCCATAAGCTTTCACATAGCAACATCCTCAAATAGTTTGTTAGTATCTCCAGATGACTGGAAGTGTCCATTTAATCCTGGCAGTTAGGATACTTGATTTTGTCACCTCTTTTTCTGGGTTACAGAAATACAATATATATGACCTGAAGCCACTAGTCCCTTAGAAAGGCCTGTGTAGAGCACTGAGAATGCCTGCTCAGTAGCAGGCAGCTGTGAGCTCCTCAGATCTGTTACTCTCTCCTTGCAGACTTCTCTTTAAATTGTGTAAACATCAGGGAGCTGAATTGTCTGGATCTAAGCCTATATAAAAGTTTTCTGAGAGCAATGTGCACATCTCTGAGTAGCTTTTCCTAATGAATGTGTGCTGTTGTGTCTTTGGTCCAGAAATAACAGTTCCAGAAGAAAAATTTTCTAAAACAAACCAAGACATTGCATCCATGATTTTTCCCATGTGACTGCTGTTAGGGCTTGATCCAAAGGAGGACCAGGTGTACAAATGTGGAGACTTTTGGGGTATCAAAATGTTAGCAGTTGGATCCACAAAATCAAAACCAAATTTTTAGGTTATGTAATATTCTCTGCTTTCATTAACATACCATTTCTGCTTTGAAGTCCCTTCCACTCTAAGCAGCATTACTACCTATAGCTTTGTCAGTTGTTTTCCTTTAGGAGACTCTTATGCTTGTGGCATTGGAACATCCTAAAAAATATATCACTCAGTGAAATTTTGCAGTGCACTACTACCATCTCCATAAGATGAACAGTTTGACTTCTTGTACTTCTTCACAAGAAATGCTCCTCAGATTTCACTCTGGAAATACGCATTATGATTGCTGAGTCTTATTTTGAAGTATTTGCTTTGTGTCTAACCCATAGTTGTGGTGGTGTTCATGAACAGACTGATGGTTTGTGAAAAATCTCCATACCTATTTTTGGGGTACGAATAAGCCTTCAATCTTTTGCTTTGCTGACTAGCAGATTTTATGACTGCTGAAATTTTAGCACAAATTTGACTTTATAATGGAATGTCATAACTAAAAAATTAGAAGATTACTAGTACCACAATAGAATTACATATGAAAAAAATTCAAGGGGATTGGTATTGACACCGTGCAGTGCTTAAGGAAGCATATAAAAGTGCAATGGTAACTAGGAGTCCAGAAAAAGCAAAGATCACTTTCCTAGAGATGTAAATTGAAAGTGAGGATAATAAAAGTATAATAAGA